GTATTAAAAGGTGATGGAGTGAAAATTCCATCTTTAAAAATATGCCGGAAACATGAGAAGGGACTGGCTATAGACACTTCCCTTGATGAATAAAATTGTCCAGCATCAGGCAAGATGTTATTCAACCATGTGCTGAAAATTGTGCTCATTGGAGTAAAATTTGTATTTAAAACAAAAAACATCAACACCTTTGCTATGAAAGTAGCAGTTGATTTGAAACAAGTTGATAAATTCTCTCAAAGCATGTTTGTTTGAGGATTGAGCAGGCATCTATATTATTTTATTATATACAAGAAACACTGGAATCTGGCAATTTGTCAGATACACAAAGTTCTACACTATTTGGCATTTACAATAAATATAATATGATTTACAGGCTGGTCAAATATAAGCCTTGTATAAAACTAATGTATTTATATTTTATATCATCGTTTTAATTCAAATATTGTCGCGGCAAATATTCAAATTTTAAGCCGAACACACGCTCGAACTTCACGAATGAAGATAGTAAATATTTCCTTTCTAAATTGCTCTATTATGTATAAAACATAACAATATTCTTACCTGAATATTACTCAGTCATCCTTGATGTTTCATATTCTTTAAAATGTATTAACTTCGCTTAAAAAGCGAATGTTTGTAGGCGATAAAAATGAAAATATGTATTTCAAAAATATGGCGGTGTCAGTGTGATGACGCTATCCCAGGAAGCTTTGCGCGTGCGGCAGGAAATCTAGGCACCAGTCTGTCAAACTGCGCTCATCGTGAGAATTTTCGCCATATGCCTCCACAAACAAACACTGTATGACCGACTATAATATAGTTTCCATGAACTCATGGAGAATTTAAAATTAACTCAATCAAAACGTTGGTATCGAAATTGAGGAGACCGGATTTCACACTAGAGTGACTAGACTGACTAGAGACACCTTAGTCTCAAACACGTCGGCTAATATATATTTCGTCTTGTTCTGTTGTTTATACAATTATACTAATAATTAGTATAGTCTTTATTAAATAAAATGCTTGAAGAAGGAATATCTTCAAAGAACTGACAACATTTTGTATATTGTCTTTTCTCCTGTATTGTCTTGTCTCCTTGTCCGAGAAGGGTCAAATTGGCCCCTTCGAAGAGTAATGTTACTCTCATGTGGAGTCGCAAGATTCCCGCGAAGAGTCAAAACTACCCTTGGAGTTGAAACGACCCTTTCGAGGAGTAGGAACTACCCTCTTTCCAAAGGGACGGAAATGACCCCTAGGGGTCAAAACTACTCTTCTGAATTTACAGTGTATATATATCTATATATATATCTATATATATCTATATATCTATATATCTATATATCTATATATCTATATATATATATATATCTATATATCTATATATATATATATATATCTATATATATATATATATATATATATATATATATATATATATATATATATATATATATATATATATATAAATAAATATATATATATATATATATATATATTTATAAAAATAAAAGTATATTATATATAATTATATATATTTATAATATTAACCAGTACCATAGCTGACATTAGTTATTTATTTACGTCAATAAAGTTTGTGCATATGGCACTTAGAAATTTTCAACGCCGGGCTACCAGCGAGAAGTAGCCCGTGATTTTGACAGGTAGCCCGTTGGTAGCCCGTCGTTTTTGTTGGGATTTCTATTAGTAGCCCGTAGCCCGTTACAAATTGAGAAAACTAATTTCAGTCGACACTTAGAAAAATTTCAACGCCGGGCTACCAGCAAGAGGTAGCCCGTGATTTTGACAGGTAGCCCGTCGTTTTTGTTGGGATTTCTATTAGTAGCCCGTAGCCCGTTAAATGTTAGGAAAACTAATTTCACTCCGGCGACACTTAGAAAAAAAACGATGCCGGTCTACTAGCAAGAGGTAGCCCGTGATTTTGATAGGTAGCCCGTCGTTTTTGTTGGTATTTATATTAGTAGCCCGTAGCCCGTTACAAATTGAGAAAACTAATTTAACTTCATACATATACAAATTTAGATGTTGTAACCGGTTGTTTGTGTATTAGTGAAGTTCTCTTTACATACAATATTATGATACATCGTATATCAAATAGGTCGCAACAACATCTGCTCATAACAATTCACACAAAAGTGACTATGCTTGTCATTGATACACGCGTTTTAAAATAAGTATATAAAATGTCACTTTAAAGTGTCTATAGTTGCATTAATTACCACGGTCTCCAGCTTTTGAAGGTTGTCCAATACGTTTGCCATGGAACTTCAACTTGTTCTTCGCTCTCCTCTCCCCGTTCATGCCTTTCAATTTCTTGTAGTACCTTCACGAGGGGGCATCGACTTCTTAGAATAAGCACTTTCACATTCTTTCGAACTTGTCCTATTCCTTCCACGATTTCACGGTTCTGTTGCACAAACGATTCGATGTTGAAAACATCTCGCTTTTGTCCAGTTACAAACATCCAGGCATCAATTTTTGGTTCCGCAATAGTCCAAAAATCACGTTCTTTTTTCGTGCGCTTCAATTTGGCCTTGTCTCTTCGTTCATTAAACGAGTAGAGTTCGCTTTTTTTCATTTTCATAAAGCCATATCTAATAAAGCATGCGACTTTGGACATATACGTTTTGTCGTTCAATACCCATCCTGCTGGAGGTGAATAGGTACGAATAGTCTGGCTGTCTATAACTTCCTCGTCAGGCGATGCTTCGTTTGCTGGTTGTGGGAGTTTTACCGGTAACAGTTGTTCTACTGTTACCGCCCTTGCTTCTGTGTTGGTACGTGCGTTGTCAGTTCTCTATGTTCCACTGTCCATTGTTTCCTCGTCATTCGATAGTTGGTCGTCATTCAACGGTTGTTCCACTGACACCGTAGTCGTCTTGCTGCGTTCGTTGTGAGTTGTCTCTCCGTCTCTACTTTCTGCTAATTTTGTCCACTTCGTTTGAGGGCTCTCTTTGACAACGTTGTCTTCAGTCAACCGGCATCCTTCCATGTCGTCCCTACGTTTCTCACCATCGGAGGAGGAGTTGTTATGTTCTTGTATTTCTTCACTTGTGCTATCGTCGTCGCTGTTTAACTCTCCCACAAGCGGCCCTTCTCTTCCCGAGCGAGACGTCGCGAACGTAACTCCACCGCAAAACCGTCGTGGATTGTTTCCGACAATTGTCCTCCACGCGCAAATCAGCATTGGATATGCGTCGCACGTGTTCGTCACTGAATAGACTTTCCCCCTCGTTTGCAGCAATCTTCAACGGTCCAGAGTGATTTGGCTCGTACCAGAGCTCATATCGATCGATGTGCTCGCAGTTTGCGTTGATTTCTTCTGCTATCCACGCAATGCAATCCATCGCGTGGTCATAAATCCACTTGTC